ACCTATGTAACCAGGAGGATACTGTGAGTTCTAAGGTTAGGTGATAAAAGACATTGCAGCTTCTCCCTTACTCTCTCTCTCCTATCTCTCAGTCTGTAAGAAGTTGGCTGCCTTGCCATGGGGACACTTAAGCAGCTCTTTGGAGAAGTTTGTGAGGGTGTGGATCTAAGGCCTCTTGCCCACAGCCAGCATCAACTCTCCAGCTCTGTAAATGAGCCATGTTGGACGTGGATCTTCCAGCCCATCAAATTTTCAGACGATTGCAGCCCTGGCCAACTTCAATCTTATGATAGACCCTAACGCTAGAACCATCCAGCAAAGCTGTTTCCAAACTCCTGACCCACAGAAACTATGTGAAATAATAAATGTTGGTATTTTAAGTTACTAAGCTTTGGGGTAATTTGTTCATAGCAATAGATAAATAAATTCAACATCAGGCATAATTTAAATAAATAGATAATAAAGAAATAGGTAACAAAATAAATTGGAATTTTGAACATACTCTTCCATTCTTCTCAAATTAATTGTAACTTCCGTGGTACATTTACAATTTCACAAAAAACCCAGTCACCTAAAATGAGAAGAAAACATTGAGATTAGTTTAAGGGAGTGTTGAATGACAATTAAATTACTCCTATACCCTTTTAATAAGAGAAAATTAAAGAATTATAAGAGCTGCAGCTGATCTCGTCTTTTTGCTTATTAGAGCAGTCCCAGAGATGGAAGAACCCCTGACATCATGTGATGCAGAACTATTTAGTCAGCTTAAATACTGACAAAAGCAACTATTGATAAATGCAATTTTTGAATCTCTCTTTTTTTTAAGATTTTGTTTATTTATTTGACAGACAGAGATCACAAGTAGGCAGAGAGGCAGGCAGAGAGAGAGGAAGAAGCAGGCTCCCTGCTAAGCAGAAAGCCCGATGCAGGACTCGATCCCAGGACCCTGGGATCATGACCCGAGCTGAAGGCAGAAGCTCAACCCACTGAGCCACCCAGGCGCCCCGTTCCTCCTTCATCTTTTTAAATTTTTATTTCTCTATTTGTGAGAGAGAAGTAGCAGGGGGAGAGCCATGGGGAGAGGGAGGAGCTGACTCCCAGATGAGCAGGGAGTTGAGCTCAGGGTTCCATCCCAGGACCCTGGGATCATGACCTGAGCCAAGATGCAGAGGCTCAACTGATTAAGCCACCCAGGCACCTCCATTTCTCCTTCATCTTGACACCAGCTTAATCCAAACCGTCACAAAGTCTTGTGGTTTTATCTTCTATTTCCATGTCCCCCAATGCCATGCTGAAACTGACGCTGTTTCTTACTTGAACAACTCTAATAGTCTCCAAGTTGGAAGTGATCTTTTTTCTTTTTAAAGAATGATTATGTATTATTTTTAATTTTGTAGATGGAAAGAAATACAAGTGATGATGTAAAGGAGCTGGAGATAAGGAAGCAAGAGTTACCTATGAAAATCAACAGGAAGGCCTAGCAAATAGCATTTCACAGCAAATTTCTTATGGTCCAAAAGGTGGAAGAATAACATTTCTTTGTTTTCTAAGGAGATGGCTGGTGTATCAATACCTACAAGAGATAGCTTATTATTTAATCTAGAGTATTCCAGCTCTAACTTTGTAATGGGCTGTTAGGCTTCTCATGATTCTTAGAAAAACTGTCATTTCCCAAATACGCAATTACCTTGATATCCTCTTCAAAAAGTCAGTATTTAAAAAAAACAAAAACAAAAACAAAAAACCACACACAAAAAAACTATTACTTCAAAGGGAAAAATATGTAATCAAATTTCCAAATGTTTCATTTTAGTCTATTTAAATAGTTTGCACATTTAAACTGAAATTACACTTCTAATGGTTTTCATTTCTCTTAAATCCAGCTCCAAACTGTTTTTTTTTCCCATTGTAAAAATTTAAATTCAATTAACATATATTACTGGTTTCTCAGGTAGAGGTCAGTGATTCATCAGTCTTATATAAAACCCAGTGCTTATTACATCACATGCCCTCCCCAAAGTCCATTACCGGGTCATCCCATCCCTCCACCTGCCTACGCTCCAGCAACCCTCAAGTTTGTTTCCTATGATTAAGAGTCTCTTATGGTTTGTCTCCCTCTCTGATTTCATCTTGTTTTATTTTTTAAATAAAAAACAGAAAATCAATTTTTTAAAGCTGAAAATCTAATCATGTCTTTCCTTAGAACCTTTCTGTGGTTCCTCATGTCCTTAGGTCAAAAGCTCAAATTCTAAACTTGGCCCATAAGGCCTGCATGATCTGGCCTGCTCTATTCCTCTTCAGATACCCACTTGGCATTGCCCTTTTCTTGTTCTCCTGGCTCCAGGCTTAAGGGGCTTCTTTCAGTTCTTCTATGGAATCATGACATCTTCTAACTCAGGGTCTTTGCACACGCTATTTCTTCTATTTGAACCATTCTTCCCCTCATTCTTCAACTTGTTAGGTCCCACTGATCCATCAGGTACCAACCTAAATCAGTGGCATCTGGCTAGGCATCTGTCATTAGCTCTAAATCCAGTCTCCACCAATTCTTACGCCCTGAAAGACTGACCCAAATGGAGCGCATCAACAGGAGACTCGGTAAGTGTAGAAGAGTGAGACCAGGTGTTTATCCTCTCAGCTTCCTCCCTGCCAGATCACCATGGGTTGGCTAGTTTTTCTATCAAAGGTCATGGCAATTGGCAGGCAATCCTCTCCACATTGCTCTTTCTTGGGGTCTTGGGTAACTATTTCTGCTCCATTTCCCTGGACACTATGTCATCGCTTATAGTTTCACTCCTGCCTACATTTTTGTAAGCAAACCCTTTATGAAATTCTGAACTCAGGGCGTCTGGGTGGCTCAGTCGTTAAGTGTCTGCTTTGGCTCAGGTCATGATCCCAGTGTTCTGGGATTGAGCCCCGCATCGGGCTCTCTGCTCAACAGGAAGACTGGCTCTCCCTCTCCCACTCCCCCTATTTGTGTTCCCTATCTCACTGTGTCTCTCTCTGTCAAATAATAAATAAAATCTTAAAAAAAAAAAAGAAATTCTGAACTCTATCACTGTTTTCATCCAGGGCAACAGTGACTGATGCAATGACCTATCTACATAGATTTTTTTATATATAGTGTGCACATGCATACATATATATATAAATATATATACATGCAAATAACTGAAACAAGTTTCACATAACAATTTACCCTTAATATGTATGATACTCTGATAATTTTGATTCTATCATATTTTGCCTATAATACTATGAAGTATTATAATCACAATCTACTACTGGCCCTCACCTGCAGTTTGAAAAATGCCCTAAATGACACTTCTGTAAGTGACACTTTACTTAACTCATCGGGCTGGATCAGGACTCCACTCTTCAAACACTCATTGCACTCCTACTATTTTCCTGCAGAGCTCTCTTCACAATGTGTAATGTTGTCATTTTCCCCTATTAAACTGTTGGAAGTGTCATGAAAGCAGGAGGATGATAGAGATGCTCACTGTTAAATTGTTTCAGGCACTGTGCTCAAGAAGTATTTATAGAGTGAATGAAAGAACAAAGAAACAAAACTCACATTTAATGCATTATTCCTCCCAGGACTACTTACATTTGGATTTCTAGTACATTTAATAGCAGTATTTTTAGTGTATTTCTGGGACAGAGAAAACTGGATAGACAGAGTGGGTTATAAGGTATGAACATTCCATCCTGATGTATTTAAGAAAGGACTTCAAATATGATTTATAGATATCTCATAAAATTTGGAGCCATCCTTTATTCCTCTCTCCCATTTCTTATCCATCAGCAAACCCTGTCAGGGTTACACTGAAAATATATTCAGAATTCCAGTATTTATCAACTCTGTCTACATGCCATCATCTATCAGGTTCATTACAATAGTCTCCTAATTGATCTCCCTGCAGGTGTTCTTGCTTCCCTTCAGTCTCAACAGAGGGACCCTGTTAAAATAGAAGTCAAATTGAGTCACTCCTCCACACAGAACCCCCGAAATGGTTTCTCATCTCGGAGTAAAAGCCTTTTTTTTTTTTTTTAATAGTGGCCTCCCTCCCTGTTTAATTTTTTTTCTCCATAGAGAAAATTTTCATCACGTCACCTTCTAATTTGCCATATAATTTGCTTGCTTATTGTCTTGTTCCCCCTACTAGGGTGTAAGCAAGCTCTATGAGGGCAGAGACTTCTGTGGTTTTTCGTTTACAGCAGTGTCCTCCGAGTCAAGAACAAAGCTTGGTACGTGACAGTTCATCAATAAATTGCTGAATAAATGAAAGCGCCCATAGAGAAACTCAAATAAATGTGCAATAATTAGGCAACGTAAATCTGATATCCACTAATCCATCTCGTCTGCAAGTATTTACCGAAGACCCATTTCTTGTAGGCACGGTGCTGGGCGCCCCGCGAGTTTGTCTAGCAGAGGAATGAGTTATCCTTAAAAGACATTAAAGCCTTTTCAGGGCAGTCCTATTTACTCTGGAGTAAAAACGAAGGATGCAGGTAAGAACTTAGATCACTTCTTGAAAGAGATAAAGGAGCAGGAGGAAAGGAGTAAGCGGGAAAACCTTAAAGGAAGAACTCCTCCAGCCTTCGTGCTCCTGGCCTTTCTCTTCCACGCTAGGATCGGAGTCTCAGTTCACCTACTCCTCTGTAGTAGCAGGGGAGGATACCCCCATGTCGGCGAATCAAATCTGGGATACCCGAGGCGAGGAGATATCCTCCAGTCCGGCTTCAGTTTTTTTCCACCTAAGAAACCAAGCTCTGGTGTTTCCCGGGCAACGCTCAGCCTCTAGCTGGCTACCATATTGCCTCCCTCTGTTTCAAAATAATACGTGTTAAAGCTCAAAAAGACGAAAGAACTTAGAGAAAGACCTGTAAGAGTGCTCCTGAATATGGTTTGTTTCAGTCAAAAAAGACATCCGAGGCTTTTTTCTTTTTTTTCCTTCTGGCGATTGCGGAAAATGCCTAACCTTGGGGCGGGGCTGAGAGGTGTTTATCCCACAAGGCCACGCGGGGGGACTTCGCCTTTCTTTTTCCGCCATCTTGGGGCCTGTCGAGGTGAGTGGAATTCTTGTTGCTGAACTTCGGGCGCAGGTGATTGAGGTGAGCTCAGCCATATGCCTTTTCAGGGCACTAGTGCGGTTCGGAGGCCGTGTCGGCGAGTGATTTTTATGGATTCCAGCAACAGGAAGGACAGGATTGAGGAGATGGGGGACTGATTGTGCTGGTCCCCGCACGCCCGGAGAACGGGAGCTCCCGTAATCGGTGTTGCTTCCTGGGCCTTGGCGGACTCATAGATAAACTTGCCTGTATGTAGTACCCCTTTGGAAGCAGTGGCTCCTTTAGGATGAGTTCTTTTTCTGTGTGTTCCCACTCCAGACCTGGCTATGTCTACGGTCTCCGTTTCCTCAGCATTTCCTTTCCCACTCAGTGCTTCAGTCTTACTTCCTGCGCGCTTCTCTGATTCCTCGCTCTTCTTTTTTTTTTTTTTTCTGCTGGTCCTGGTATGGATTTTCTCAGGACTTCCCTTTGGGGTTTCCAGGAGCTACTACTCTTACTGTGGAATCTTGACACTTTCGTTGTAGCCTTCGTTTTGGAGTTTGCTGGTGTCAGGCTTTTCTCTGAGGTTGGGAAGTGTTGCGCGACTGTGTTTCATGTAGATGTCACGGGATAATTAGGTCTCCCCGTACTCTTAATGTGAAATGCCGAGCAAAAAGGAATGTGCCTGACAAGTTGAAGAAACGTAGGACCAGGTGAGAAACGTGCGTTGAAATATTTTAAACTGGTTCTTTTTGTTTTAAGGCCTGCTGGGAACAGGACTCCTCTAAAACGCCGAATAATGTCTGGAAGGTACGGGTTTTAAATATAATTGCTTTGTATTTGTAGTTTTTTGGTTTTTGTCAAGCATGAGCATAAATGTGAGCTTAAAGCTGGTGGGAAAAAATTAGATGTTATGCTGCAGATAACTTTTGAGTAGAGCTCATTGCAAGTCACATCTTACCAGTGAAGGGAATCGAGATCCTTTAACAACTTAACGGTTACGGTCTATTTTGTCTTAGGCTGTGGTCCAAGGCCATTTTTGCTGGCTATAAGCGGGGTCTCCGCAACCAGAGGGAGCACACAGCTCTTCTTAAAATCGAAGGTGTATATGCTCGAGATGAAACGGAATTCTATCTAGGCAAGAGATGTGCTTACGTGTACAAAGCAAAGAAGTAAGTTTATAGTACTAATAATGGCTTTTAAGTTTTTAGTTGAGATGTGTCTCATTTTCCTATTCAAAGAATAATCATCAAAAGATACTGATAAAGTAATTGGTACTGTTGTGTTTTCTACTTTGGATCTTTAAGAAACTTCGTGGAAGGTTATAGAAGGATGTTAATTTGTCTGGGCAGTGTTGAATTTAGGTATATTAATGCTTTTAGAATGATGACAGCTGTTAATTGTTTGAAGGAAGCAACCAACTCCTTCAAGTCTCTTCTTAATAGAGCAGTTTTTCATGTACTTTAATTCATTTTGTTGCTCTCTTGAAATTATGTTGTATACATGCTTAGAAATGTATCTAGATCATTGATTCTCAAACCCACTGAACCAGTTAAAATCTCTGTGGACGTGGCTTTCATCTTTGCTACCCATTCTCCTGCAACAAGACCTTTAAAATTATAATTCAGGGGGGACCTGGGTGGCTCAGTGAATTAAAACCTCTGCCTTCCACTCAGGTCATGTTCCCAGAGTTCTGGGATCCACCCCTGCGGGTCTCAGCTCAGCGGGGAGCCTGCGTCCTCCTCTCTCTCTACCTGCTTCTCTGCCTACTTGTCATCTCTGTCAAATAAATACATAAGATCTTTAAAAAAAAATAAAGTTATAACTCAGCTCACCTGGCCATTTCTCAGATACCAACTCCCCCCTCCCCATCTTTAGTAAAAACAAAGGTCTTTAAGGAGCCTTTAAGACATGTAAGGCATTCGGGGCTCCCTATTTCTATTCTTAGCCCATCTAGGATTCGTTCCATGATACCTTCTGCTTTTCCATAATTTTTTTAAAATATTGCATCTATTAGCATCTGACATTAATATGTTTTACTTAACTATTTGGTTATCTGAAGGGTTTTTTTGGCAAATTGCAATTTTGTGTTTTACAGACTAACAAAAAATACATTATTAAAGTGTCTGGCATACAGTAGGTACTCAAATACTTGTTGAATGAATGATGCCCCAGACTTTGAATTTCTCAGGTGACTTAGTGGTTAACTACAGTTGTTGAGTTGGTGACCACTGGTCTAGGTCACCTTGAATTTGTATCACCCTACACTTGTTGCCTGTGTTCTCATACCTCTTTTATCCCCTTTTAAAACCAGCAACACAGTGACTCCTGGTGGCAAACCAAACAAAACCAGAGTAATCTGGGGAAAAGTAACTCGTGCTCATGGAAACAGCGGCATGGTTCGTGCCAAATTCCGAAGCAACCTTCCTGCTAAAGCCATTGGCCACAGAATCCGTGTGGTAAGTAACATTATTAGCAATATGACACTCTGGGGTCAGACTAAGCTCAGAGGTCTGGACTCTGACCTCTAAAGACTATTGTGATTTTTAAAATCACCCCTGAGTTGTGCTTCAAAATTGTCCGCTGCTGTGTAGATGTGTTATGAAACACCAGATTCCTGGCATTAGGGGGAAAGTGAAGGCAAAGTGTTCAAATGGATTGTATCTAGATTTCAGATTTTGCTAAAGCTTGGGGTGGGGAGGATAGTATTTAAAGAACAATTTTCTGGCAAAGATTTATTGAACACAGAAGTGATTATTGGAAAAATTCACCTTCTCCTGGCATAATTCATGATATTCCCATCTCTTCATTGTGACAGTCTTGTTAGAATAGGTGTTGTTAATAGCTGTATTTTATAGAAGAAAACTGATGCTCACGTGAAGCAAAATTAAATGGATTTTCAGTGTTCCCTGTACCAGTTCTTAAAAAGTGTGTTCATGTAGATACTATAAGAACTTAGTTCTCTCTCTGCTAGGATATAAGTAGTCATTGGATCCCTTTAGAGATGAGTAATGTGACAGTGGGAGCAGATCCATATTGTACGCACTGACATTTTCAGATTTGTATATAACATGCATCTAATTACACCGTGTTTTTTTTTCTTCCTAGATGCTGTACCCCTCAAGGATTTAAATTGAATGAAAAGTAAATAAAGGTGTAGATTTGTTCTCTTGTATATTTGTTAAATGGCTTACCATTTTCTTTTTCCTAAATACAAGATGCTATATTTAAATGGTGGTGATTATCCAGCATTTTCAGAGTACAAGGAAGCCAGGGAGCTATATGTAATGGCAGTTACAACAATTTAGATAGTAGGAGGGTTTTAATGAGGGTAGGGAGGTTAGAGTATCTTAATACAAAGCGTCATGTGATGGGGGAGGGAAACAAGCTTTGATTGGAGGCAGTGGGAAGGAGTATGTTGGAAGTTTTTAAAGCGATGGAGTACATGATCTCTCAAAAGCTTTTGTTCAAATGGAGACCATGTATTCCAGGAAGGACAGAAGCCAGAAATATTAGCCAATACAAATACATAACACTTTTTTCCCAGGTTCCCACATCAAAATGGATCTATAACTTAAGTTTCTTTGAACTCTGTACTGTGGTTTATTACATGTGATTGCCTTCTTTAGATTGAGAGTGAAAGAAATTTAAGATTATCTTGACAACCTCCTTAATTACCTTGCATGTATGCACTTATTCAATATAGATTGGTTAGGAAACTTGATACTTGTGAGAACTTAAAATGAGGATTGTATTGATGGTATTTGGCAGCTTCTTTAGATAGGCAAGGATGAGACTATTGGAGCGTGTTACCGGACAAAGCATGCCAGTATAAAACACTTGACTTGTAATAATGTTTAAGTTGAAAATAGCAAAATAATATATGCCTCAAGAAAAAGTTATAGTGAGTTGGGGTAGGGGGAGGTTGCCTAGATAGTGTAGCTTGGTTCCATGTTTTAATGTAGTAGAGTGCAGGATTGAGATACTTTAGTGTAAGACGAAACTAAAGCAGGGCTGCAGGGTATTTCAGTTCTCTGAATTGTTGAAATAAAGTTTGAACCAAGGCATCAGGTTGCAGTACGGTGGCTGTAGATACTTGATTGTTGCAGTAGCAGCCAGCCAGTCCTTTTATTAACCACCAAATCTTGACACTCCACTGAAGATACCAACAAGAAACCTGGGAATTGGTCAAACTGAGCCCTTTTACAGTTTTTAATTACACTTAGAGTAGCATATAGCAGTTCTAAGAAATGTGTGCTAAGCCCAATGGTGGTCCTCAAGCCAAAGCTGTTAGAAGGAAAAATACCAGGTATCACAGAAATGGCGTTGTACTTGTACTGTAGTCTCATTTGGGCTTACTTGGGAAGAATGACTTAAAGGAAAAAGAGGTGGTTGGGTCAGATGCTAATGTTTGGTCCAGTGTTAATGTTTTCTTCACAAGGTCTAAGTGTTAATGTTTTCTTCACAAAGTCCAGTGTTAATGTTTTCTTCACAAGGTCTAAGCAGTGTATTTCAGGGCCACAATTTGCGTATTAGAATCCTAAGGAAATTTACATTGAAAAATTGGGTCACTGGCAAGAAGTCCCAATCCCAGACCTACTCCAGTGGGATTTAGTTGTTGAGAAACAGCATAATCTAATAGTACCTACACTAACATGTCATTTAAGTAGATGTTTTCGTACTTTTTAAAAATTTGTGAGTGCATGAGTTGGGGGAGGGGCAGAGGGAAAGGGAAAGAATCTCAGACGCCCTGCAGAGCTCATAGCTGGATTTGGGGCTCTATCTCGACCCTGAGATGGCCTGAACCAAAAATCAAGTGGACTGCTTAACAGACTGACCCACCCAGTTGCCCCAAAGATGTATCAGTACTCTTAGAGTGATTAGGAATAGAGGAAGAAATGCTTAGGGAGGTATTTCATAAAAATTGACCTTTAGGGTTTATGTGAAAGAATGCATTTAAGGAACTGTTCAACTGGGTTGTGTAGTGTAACTGAAACCTAATTGTGGGCAGTAATTGGAAAATAAATAGAAATGGCCGGATTATGCCAGGTTTTATAAACTGTACTAAGGATTAAGAGAATTCAAAGACCAACTAAGTCTTCAATGGTAACATTACTACCTTTGGTTTTGGGTAGATAATAGTGCATTTACAAAGTTGGGTAACTAGGAGATCTTTTGGTGGAAGGGTGTTGAGTTTGAGGAAGCTATAGGATACTCACTTGTGACCACGTCCAGGAAGGCAGCTGGACATTTGTGCCTGGATTAGGCATACAGAGGAGGAAATCTCATAAAGCTGTCACCTTTGTAGGAGTTAAGTGAGTATGGTATTGAGTAGGATGATGATCGAGTAATGGAGGTGGATAAACAGGAAGTGGACACTTGAGCAAAGAAGAGAGGTCTGGGCGCCTGGGTGGCTCAGGTAATGATCTCAGGGTCCGGGAATGGACCCCTGCATGGGGCTCTGCTCAGCAGGGAGCCTGCTTTGCCCTCTGCCTGCTGCTCTGCCTACTTGTGATCTCTCTCCCTGAGTGTCAAATAAAAATCTTTAAAAAAGAAACCTTAGGATGACCTGAGTAAATGCAGTGCCAAGACAACCTTGCATGGAAATTCGTCCTCTTGAATTGATTTAATAATACAGCACTTAGTAAATGAGAGAGGGCTTTATGCATTTCTCTTCCCATAATGAGATTTGGTGAGTACAAAAATGGTCCTCAAACCAGAGGTACCATTGGAGGAATCCTGTATTTCAGAGAAACGAACTAAAAAATGGCTAGCGGTTGGTTGGCTGGATCTCTGAAACAGCCTCTCCCCAGCATGACACAACTGTTAAAACTTTAAAACTAGGAACTTGATGTTTCCTGGTGCTATTCTCTGTTCAGAAATCACAGGTTCTTTGTCCTCTTGTGGAAAAAGCACATGTCCTGAAAGTGATAAATTTGGTTTGGAGTCCCAATTTCCACTAGTTGAGGGATGATAGACTCATTATGTAATGAGCCTTTACTGATAGAATGCCCCACCTTTCAGTTTGAGTACATGATCTTTACCAATGAATTGTATGATCTTGGGGCTATTCTTTCCTATTCCCAGTTCCTAGTATAGTAATTTACAGTATTCAGTTCTGGATAAATAACTGTTCCAGTTCAGTGCTTCCAGTTACTAGTTTTAATTGTTTAAAGGGCCTTGGGAATATCCCAATTTTCAATTTTTTTATAGTTACTCATGGCCTAGATTGAAGGTAGAGTTTTCTTAATGGCAAGGATCCACCTGGTCTCTTCCTGGGTTAAATGCAGTTGCAATTCTTGTGGGTTGTTTGGGGTTTTTTTTGTTTGTTTTTTGCAGTTTTTGTGTTAAGTAGGCTCCACACCCATTGTGGGGCTTGAACTCACTACCCCAGAGATCAAGTCAAATGCTGCACTAAGACACCCCTAATTTTTGTTTTTTATGGCAGTTAAGGGATGGGGTTGAATAGGAACGAACATACTGATTTTATAAGAAATGACTAGTTAAATGGTCCTAAAATTGGTGACTGAAAATAAAGTAAAAATGAAAGTATATTCCGTTCATCTTTTATACAGAGGGCTAAACCGTTAAAGGTTCTACATCAGTTTGTTTAAGCCACATGGCACCCAGTGTGGATGCCTACCATTAAGGTGAGAAACTGAATTAAAGAGAAACAGCTTTATACAATCATTGCCGTGCAACACCCACTAGTCTTCCTACAGCCCAACTCACGTGGGCCGCGAAACGGCATTTATTGGCAGACTTCCCGAACTGAGAAGCGACGGGCGTGACGCAGTTCACATCCGGGGCGACCTGGTTGGTGCTGCTAGCCAATCGAAAATCGTCTGTCTGCTGGCGGCGAGGGGCGGGGCTTGCGCCAGGGTGAAGACGTCACGTACTCCATGGTAACGACGCTCGGCCCGAAGATGGCGGCCGAATGGAACGGAGTTGCAGGTTCCTCGGGTTCAGGCCTTGGCCCTAGCCAGTGGCGCTGGAGCAGGTCTTTATGGGTCCAAGGCGTTTTACTCCTGTTGGGCGGCCTCTGGGCAAGTTCCACATCAATTCCTGTCTCCTTGGACAGTTCCCCTCCCTGCCGGCACCACGTCCCCTCTGAGACTGAGGTAGGGCGACGGAGGGGCGGGAACGGGCGCTGTGAGGGTAAAGTAACACGAGAGGCGAAGATGTAGAGGGTAGTTGCTGGAACAAGGTGTGTTGGAGAAGAAAGCGAAATTGGACCGGAAACTGAACTCTTAGGGGATGGACCTCGCTTGTTACCGGGTGGTCCTTGGGTCCTGAGCCCTTGACCCAGCCCCTGCAAAAGATGTCGCTGGAGGCTCTTGGTCTGCCAGGAGAAAGAATTCAAGGACAGACAACAGGGTACATAAGCAGTACAATCAGGAAGCTTTCTTTTCGTTCTTTCTTTCCTTTTTCTTTAAAGATTTTATTTCTTTGACAGAGGGAGAGACAGGGTGAGAGAATACAAGCAGGGGGAGTGGGACAGGGAGATGCAGGCTTCCCGCCAAGAAGGGAGCACGATGTGGGGCTTGATTCCAGGACCCTGGGATCATGACCTGAGCCGAAGGCAGACGCCTAAAGACTAAGCCACCCAGGCTCCCCCAAGCAGGAAAGTTTCTTAAAGTAAAACTACATTCTAGAGATGTGAGAGAGGGTGCGCTCAAGGAAGGTCTGAGCCCACTGGGTTTCGGTTTCTGTTACTGACAATTGTTAACAAAGGGGTGGAATACTCATTACTTAAAGTGAGGATTTCTTGGAAACAGGGTGGTGTCTTCCAGGAATGTAGGTTATGCCCTTTTTTCTTGCCTTATTTGACCGATAAAGAACTCTCGTGGAGATTTCAGGGGCGGAGCTCCTTCATAACCGCAGTGCTAATGATAAAACAACTGTATAATGAGCTGAGGTCACTCAAGCTGTCAAGATGGCAGTCCCTTGTGGTTTTCTTTTGGAGTGGTGCCAGGACAGGCCTCTTCTTCATAGATGGCCATGACTTCCTCTTTGCTGGCCTCGCGGCATCTTGTGAGAACCTAACAAACTGCCTACTCTAACAGTATTAACTCCCTTTCTGCACCCAGCAAAGTGGCTGAGTTAGGCGCTCAGAACATGATGGCTTTCCTGTGCTGAGAGTTCTACTTAGGCAATTGTAGAGCAGTGGTTTTCACCTTGAGAGT